TATATATATATATATATAGTGTGTGTGTGTGTGTGTGTATATATATATATATATATACATATATATATATATATATATATATATATATTCTATGTATATGGACTGTATAGTGTTGGGAAATCATACGTAAATATTTGATTGATACATATGTTATACTTGGTTGTAAATATAGTCATCTATCTCACTTGGAGCGTGTGTCTGTTAGGTCTGTTGGCAGTTGTCATGGATGGGATATTCTTTTTTGTGCGATTTGAAGTGTTCAGCGTTATCCTGTTATAATTGGACGACGTTGAAGTTTGCTTAGATGTGCCACGTTTAAGTCTATTATACTCGTGTTAAATCAGTACATAGTTTACGGGACTATTGGAAAGCTAATTCCATCATAACTGGGCCATGGATGTACATCACAGTTGTTGTTGCTTTATTTGCTCTTGCGTTCTGATGTTAGACTCATATTTTTCTATCACGTATGACTTTACAAAATATCTTCACTTATGATCGCAGCTTTGTCGAATGAATGCTACCGAATGTTGCGGAATAAAAACTGGCAGTCGTACTGTCACTATATACCTACCTCGCTCTGGGACTCAGATTGAGATGGTAGGTTGCTTAAGCGCCATTTCTTCTGGCGCAGAATAGATGTATTTAGCATCTATGAGTACAGCCAGTGATTGTTGCTTTCTAGTATCGTGTGCAACCATGTGTTGCAAATATTTGTCTGCGAAGCTTTCATTGGTCACGTATCTCTCAGATGTGTGCAAACCGTAAAAGAATGCCGCATGAATTGTGTCGGTACTATCGCACGCAGCCCCCTCACGTATTTATGGACATGAATATTAAATAAACGCGGGTACGGAAGTCTCAGATGTACAATAGGTGGGTGAGTGGGAGATAAGATCTACCACTGCCATATTTTATTATGTGTTGTCTTTCAGCAATAGTGTCGGTCTGATTCGTCCTTATTTAACGCCCCTCCAGCTAGCATCTAGTATGCAGTGCAAATGATTTTATTCCTAAACACTTTGATGCAGCGGGTGTCTTTCCTGCCATAGTGGATGTGATGATTTAATTCCGTACGAAAGAGTTGTACGCGATGGTTCACCTATTGTTTGGTGCGATGTGATTGTGTAACGAGCTCTGTGGTGGTTATCCTCTGTTTTCATATGCTGGTGCAAGTCATTTTTCTGGCCAGTATAGTCAGCTGTCCCTCTGTGCCATTGTGGCCCTGGATAGTACCTAGAGTGTTCCAGATGATTGCTTTCAGACTGCTGCCGTGTGCTCGCCAAATTGTAGTCCGCATAGCTTGCAGGATTGCCTCTTGCTATCTGACTTGCATTCCGAGAGCCGCCTCCACAATCTCTGGTGTCAGTGCTGAGATTTGATCCGATTCTGTCACGTTCAAAATGTGATGTCCTAGTATCATTATGCTGTCCGTTGTTCGATATCGTGCTATCATATGGTACGCTCTCCTGTTGCAATCTGTTTTGCAACATATTTCTTTCCACAGCATCTTCGCCCGCGCCAAGTTGACCTGCACTGTCCAGGCACCTGCCCGAAGGGTTTTGAAGATTCCTCCTACCTAGTTGAGAAGAGCATGAACTGCGGTTTCGCCATTGTGTTTTAGTGTGTGCATCCCGCTCCATCTGTTCTTTCGCATTGTTTGAGTAATTTTGATTGTATTTGTTAACTTGATTGTTCACTACTGCTTCGACCTCGGCTTTGTGAACAGCTGAGTGCTGTTTTAGTCCACCGACGGACCTGCACAATTTTCCGCACCCCTTGAAACTACATTTGAAAATCTGAGGTTTTTCACCACCTGCTTGGCGCAAACGAGCGTCTGACACAGTGGCATGCATCGCAGCATGTTGGTTAAGATCGCTTACGTGCTTGAACTTTTCAGCACATCCATTCCACTGACATATATACGGGTAAACATTTGCGTCCACTGGAAAAATACGGGGCCTGTTAGAGTGGTGATGGGTATGCCTGACTAAACCCCCAATAGAGCGGCAAACTTTACCGCAACCTTCCCATTTGCAGATAAATGAGTTGTCAGCAGGTTTGTCGCTCTTTTGGGCTGTGGGGTCTTTTTCCTTCGCAGGGTCCGTTTCTATTGCTTGAGGAACGATTCCAGTGGTGGTATCATTGTGCGGCATACTCCGCCTACGATTTGCTCTGGTGCTTTCAAGCGACAACTCTGCACAACTTAGCGAATTCGATTGACTATCCCATCCTCCTTTTTGCCTATCTTGTTCTCCACCCGTATATCCTGCTGTCACTTTCATGGAGGCTTTTTCTCCAACGAGTGTTGGAAGTGCACCTGTTAGATCATTAAGTTCATTTGACTCGGTAAACGAATGTCTTGGAGAGGTACGACCGCCCCGGTGGCTCATTGTGTAGGACGTCAATCGGTTATGGGATCTAAATACATTCCTTGCCAAATCTTGATTTGAAATTGGGTGACTTTCATTCTGAGAGTTATCAGAATATATATGTCTCCGCCCCGGAGGCGAATTATAGCTGGGAGCCCTCCGTATGTTCTCGTTATGGCTGTTTAGTGGCAACCCTACTCTGCATCCATCCCTACACAAGCGACTGCCATGTTCATAGCTGTAGGACTTGCGAGTAGAACCGGGATACTCTTCTCCAGAGGGCGAAGTCGATGAATAGCCTTCTGTATTTAATTGCCCATGCTGTCGATGATCGCCTTCATTTTTATCCGGTCGGTAAATATTGCTTCCACATGAAGCATACTCTGGCTTTATCCTGTTAGATTGTTCCACAGATGGGGATATATCATACGGCCTATATCGCACTGCCGGAAGTGTTGAACGACGTCGAGACTTGAACTGGCTGTCGCTCGAGCCAAAAGATTCACCATTGATCTCATTGTTCTGACTAGTGCTAGAATTTGTATAACCTTGGCTTGCAGAAGAGGTGCGTCGGTACTGACGTGTAGAAATGGGCCACTTGTACTCATCATCGTCACGCGTTGGTTCATCGTGATGGGAGGTTTTTTCAGGAATATGACGGCTGTCAATCCCTCCAATTTCTGAGCCCACCTTGAGTGATTGTGGTGCCCGCTTCTCTCTTTTTTCCGATGGACAAGCGATATAATGCACCTGCGTCCGCCAATCATACTCCTGGTTTATACAACGTAAAGAAACGATATAATATTGGTGGGCTGATGGGTGACAATGAGGTGGAGTTGAGTGTTTTCCTAGGCTGCTACCTACCTATCGTCATGCTTCAGCATATAATGTGCAAAAAATAAGCAGTACAAGCATCTTTGCAGATTGAAGAACACCGTAGATAAAACCTGAACGAAATGATTTGGTACTGTACCTGACATTCTCTGCCGCAATATAATCGCAGGGCGCATTGGCACATACTAGAGGCTTCGCTACCGCAAACGCAGCATGCCTCAAAGTTCTCGTCAGACCTAGACATAATTTTTTTATATTTATAATGAAATTGGCACTGTAATTTCTGTTTGTGGACTCAATGTGCACGAAAGGTTTAGTACGTGCATAATGAGAAGTATGTCCAAAAGTTCCGGATAGTAATAGAAGCAGTTCTGCTATTTTTTCCAGTAAAATCATTTTGGAAAGTACTGAAGTCGGACTCAGAGGTCGACTTTCGACTGTCTCAAGTGTTCTCACTTCTCAACTCAACTCCTGAGTTTCAGGCTTTCAGCCTTTCACGCTTTCAGGCCCTCCGACTTTCAGACTGTGTGGACTGTGAGTCTGTAAGTCTGTGAGACAGTGAGACTGTCTCCCCAATTCTTGAGTGTTTTGAAAACACACGAACAACGCCTTCTGAAAACGATCAAACAATATGAGTTGGAGAACATCAGATCAGAAGTTCAGAACATGCCAGACTCAGCCAGAGTCACCAGCCCTAACATGAACAGCATCAAAGATCGAACCCTATCTGCTCCTAAAAATACATGCAAAAATTGTTTTGTTTTTTTAAAACCCCAAAAGCAATTGTTTTTTTTTAAACAAGATGTTTTGCTTATTTGTAGGGCGTATGTAATATTTAGTAGGCTATGGGCCTGGGCAATATGTAAAGAAAACAATACAAAATTCATTTGTATTTATAAAAATTTAGAAGGCCATGATTTATTATATATATAAAAACCTAAAACTATGTATCAAATATTTTATTTTTATTTTTAAACAAAAATAGAAAAGCTACATATGTATTTACAGAACTACAGACTATTTACACTCTTTGCTATTTACTAGAGTCTCTACATAGTGCATAGTACAGACTTGCTTTTTTTTCTTTTTGTCCAATGTTTTTAAAAAACCGAAAAATAACAAATAAAACAGAATAATTTACCTCTTTCAAAAACAAATCGACTCAATTTGAGAGCCACTATTTACTGACTAAATACTCTGCTATTCTCTGTTTGTTTTTTTAATTTGGCTCTGAACAAGTGAACATATTTAGCCGTCTTCTGATATATATTTATTTTGAAAATGTTGAAATCTTGGATGCCAAACATTTTGGGTTTTTAAAAAGAAGAGAAGCAATACCCTGTTTTTTTCAAAGAGGGTTTTCGCTTTTCCTAATAAATGAGTGGAAAAAACGAGCTATCATCCAATGGAACAACGAACGGCGAACTGTTTATGTACGAAGCAAATCAAAACACGACGTTTTTTCATTGAGCAGATATCAGTTTATTTCTATAGTTTGTCTTGGGTTTTTTCTATACTCGGTTATACCACTTGTAAAAAAACTCATAAAAAAAGGGTAATTTATTTGCTGTAAATAAAAATCTCTTTATTTTTTTTATTTTTCAAAAAGCGAACATATTTTGGTCGTTTATTTGTTTTGGTTTTTTGTTTGCTTTTTGTTTCATTTAAAACAAATCAGAAACAGAAACTCGGGGTCCTGGGCTCCAGAGTCAAGATTCAAGAGTCCAGAACCTCCTGCTGGCAGTCTGGCACTGCAGGTCGCAGGAGGGCTGACCGCGGCCCGCAGGCGAGGGGAAAGAAGTTGTTTGAACTCCAAAAGGCCTTCAATGAAGTATTTTAGGGGTCTTAAATTACAAATATCATAGCCTATGTACTGTGTAGAATGTAAATACTACTAAATAGACGACGCTAAGTATGCATATGTGTTTTGAAAAGAAAAAATATTCGGACATTAAACGTTGTTTTCTATATTAAATATTGTTGTTGTTTTTTGTTCTTGTTGTTTTTTAGGAACTATTAAACACAAGTGGACTATTATATAGAATGTATTTTTAAATGGTTAAATTTCCCCATCCCCCTCAAGATTCGAGTGTCGTGACTCGTGAGTTGTAAATACCTCGTGAGTTGTAACTCGTGCGCGGCCTCGCGGGCCGAGGCTCGAGCGCCTCAGCAGTCAGCAGTTCAGCACCCAGTTACCCACTCTCTCTGGTAGCTGTCTCCCTACTACTAGGAGTAGGAGCCAGTAAATAGCCACAGGGGACAGGCTCATAGCCTACAGCGCAGTGAGCGCACGCCTCACACCCCACAGGCTCACACTCATAGTCCCACACCCCACGGACCCACAGACCCACACCCTACGCTAGGGCAACGGCTTATACACGACACAGCCCAAAGGCCCTTACAATTTATAGGCACAGTCCACAAGCGTCAAGTACAGCCACATACCTACAGTAAATATATAGAGTACATACACACCACTAGCTCTGCGACATTGTTTATCTGTGATTTTTATTTTTCAAAGGAGTCAAAAAAGCATCACTGTGGAAAGATTGTCATAGATAAATATTGCTATATTTGGTTTGAGAACATATGATTATATTACGTACGCAAGTCGCAAACTCGCAACTCTCGTATACGGTAAGTCGGTAAGCAGCGCTAGCCATTTGTGTGTTTTGCCGACCTACTGTGTTGGCTCATGGCTGCTGTAAAACTGTTGTGAGTGTTGTGGCCTGTGGGAGTGTGGACTGTGGACTGGGGTCTGTGGACTACTGCTTGAGGAGCGGGGAGTCGGGGACGGCTAGACAGTAGACTACGTAGTAGAGACTCACTGTACTCTGGAGTCTGGGAGTGAGGAGTGTAGACATCTCTCTCTCTCTAGAGAGAGAGTGTGAGCGAGAAAGCCCTGGTCTCCTGGACCGTTGGACGGCAGTCACCCTGCATACAAGATATCTCGGATTTTCATAAACAAATATGTGTTGAAAAGATTCAAATAGATAAATTCTATTGAGCGATAAGATTCACAACAAATTCCGGAATCTCCTGTGCAGTATGAGCCTCTCAAGAGTCAGGAAGTCTCAGGGTCACTGGCTCACAGACCTAAGCCCCTAACTTAGATATATATTTATACATACATACACACACACATACACATATAT